AGAGTTTTTTTTTTTTTTTTTTTTGACAAATAGACCCCCTGAGGATGAAAAGAGCAAAAAAGGAATCCACTCAGGGCGTCCACATACAACAATGGAACTGCAAGGGGTCTGTTCACAGCTAGGCAATAGTAAAGGGGGTCTATCCGGAATTAACCCTTATTTTCTTGAGTAATAAAACAAGGTGTCCACAAAATTTATTAATTAAAGATGATAAAAATACATATATATATATTATATAATATATATATATATATATATATATATTATATATATATATATATATAAGAGAGAAGAGAGAGGAGGAGAGTTTTCTATATATGAGAAGAAACTTATGTCAACTTAAGGTGGACGTCCATGTAAGTTTCTTAGTCATTGATGATCACTTGATTGAGTTACATTATGGATGATCCGCTCCGTTGAACTTGATCTACATATTCTAAAATCCCAACACATCCCAAATTTAGGGGTGAACGCCGTCGTGGTTTGACCCTCCTTCGAGCCATGTAAAAAGTTCCATTCATTCGAAACCGTTAAAATTGATACGAGTGGATGAAGGGTCAAACACGACGGGTTCACCCCAAATTTGGTGTGTTGGGGTTTTAGAATATGTAGATCAAGTTCAACGGAGCGGATCATCCACAATGTAGCTGCAATCAAGTGTATCATCAATGACTAGAAAGCTTAGTGGACGTCCACTTAAGTTGACATAAAGTTTTTCTATATATATTAATAGCGTCCACTTAAGTTGAGCATAAGTTTTTTAACATACATACATACATACATATATATATATATAGAGAGAGAGAGAGAGATTTGTGTCAACCTTAAGTGGATAGAAAAAGGCTATCCACCAAACTTTTTAGCGCCTCATATTACCTAGGGACGCCTTGCAATGATATGAAAATATTTTTATATATAATAAATAAGTGGCTAGAAAATTTGGTGGACATCAACTTAAGTTGATAGGAGTCTCTCTTCTCTTCTCTCTCTCTCTCTCTCTCTATATATATATATATATATTAATATATATATATATATATATATATATATATATATATAGGGAAAAGTGTTCCGTAAGGTGACGCCTTAGATAATCATCTAAGGGCGGCGGTCTAAAATCACATGATTGAGCTACATTGTGAATGATCCGTTCTGTTGAACTTAATCTACATATTCTAAAACCCTAACATACGAATTTGGGGTAAACCCATCGTCGTTTGACCCTCTGTCGAGGCCATGTTGAAAGGTTCTATTCATTCGAAACCGTTAAAATTGATACAAAGTGGATGAAGGGTCAAAACGACGATGGTTCAACGCCAAACTTAGTGTGTTTGGGTTTTAGGATATGTAGGTCAAGTTTAACGGAGCGGATCATCCACAATATAGCTAAATCACGTGATTTTAGGCCGCGTACTTAGATGACTATCTAAGGCGTCAGCCTTATATATATATATAATATATATATATATATAATTATATATATATAATATATATATATATATATATATATATAAGGTGTCAAACTTTAGAAGGAGATGATCGAAGTTAGGGGCTGCTAGTCAAACGTGATACCTGGCCATACTTGTTCCATCCCCAACAATATGCACCACCATCCTCTGAAGCAAGCAACAATTAGTTCATAAATCGATTCGTTACCAATACTAACCAGTAATAAGTTGATGTTGCAGACTAATACCTGTGATTATAGCACTGTGCCGTGCTCCACAGGAGACCACTTTAGCCTTCTTTTCTTCCAAACACTGAGCTTCCAAAAGTCTCGGAATAGTCTGCAATAGAATGAATGATAGTTTAAACTAGTTTATACCCATAATCCAGCAATAAAGCTACAGTTTTGCAACAAAAAAAAATTTTGTCTACAGTTACTGTATCAGAGAGATGTCTTTACCCATTAGCTTAAAGGCCAACGAAACTGCAAGCCATATAATACCATGGTTGATTTGCAAACTGTAATTGCCCATTTATTGCTCCTAACCTTTTATAGGGAGATCTCCCTCTCTTATCTATACTATCACATGGCTTTCACGTGATGTCTATATGTTGCAGAGAGCTCTCCTGATATTCTGTATGCACTTCAAATCCACATAGTTGTCTATGTTCTCATACACTATAAAGTTTATTTTCCTTCAAACCCAAAATATAGAATACAATGTGTACAGCTACATATAGTATGGCCTATGACTGGACACCCTATAGTATGCTGCTATCTACAATATATAGCTATAATCCATGTTGTATGTAGTTACACACTATCGTACGTAGCTACACAACCATGTCATATGTAGCTATACACTTCGCATTCTATATTTTGGGTTTACATGTAAGAACCCTGTATTTTGGGTGCACAAGTAACGTATAGAACTATGAGGGTTTTGAAGTAAGTGGGTTAAAACTTTGGGTTTATAAGCAAAAAACCCCTACTTCGTACTGCAAAGAGACCTCAAATTCTCTTATAGGTGTTGATACAGGTCAAATAATGGAGATATAGCTCTACTTAAACATCAGGAGGTCCAACTGATAAATATAGGGACAATAAATGTTTACACTCTATAGTACAACATGTCGGCAATTGACACTAAATACAAAAGTGAAGAATACAGTATACTGACCTCAGCCTGATCAGAGCCAGTTCCCAGTTGCCCAAACTGGTTTCCACCAAATGAATACACATCTCCATCAGCTGATATACATACAGTATGCCATAGACCAGCAGCAATTCCTTCAATCTTCACTCCCAAAAGCGACGGCACACACGTTGGGCTCAGCTCATCATCTGTACTTCCTTGGCCACACTGAATCAAGATAGGGAAAAGCAACAAAAGGAAACTTGAATAGTCAGTGCTTCAATATTTGACACCAAGATAAGTTTCATAGAAAGAGCAAGAAAGACGATATCTCATGTTACAGTGACCTCATCTTCAACATTATACTTGCTTTTTCTCCATCTTTTCTACTATACCTACATAGCGATTCTGCAGATCAGTCAATACTTTCGAAAGAGCTTTGATACAAGTTAAAAGGATGTATACAGAGTAATGCATGCACGTTGTGGAACATGTAACAGGATCCGTCCATTGAACCAGTTTTCCTTTTATAACACTTGTAGAATAAGCCCATATGAACCTCATTGACAATAGGAAAAACTAATAGTTGTACCCCTTATTAATTCCTCAGAAAGGCATAGTCATAAGAAACAAATAATATCCGCCATACATACAGTGGTTACAAGGATATAAAACAATCTACCTACACATGCCATCTCTAAGCAAGAATCAAGTTTGTCTAAGCAAGAAGTTCAAAATTCATATAAGCTGGTTCCAAACTAATGGTTCCACGCTGGAAGCTTTTTGAATATAATTTGAAATAGCAGTAGTTACATGACACATTGAAAGTCCACTAAGAATTCAAAGGCATTACCTTCCCTTACGAACTCCAGAACAGACTGTCCAGAACAGACGAGGGGTAAGTTTTAGCAACCACTCAAAACCAGGCAGAATTGATCGTGATTCAATTTTAGGAAATTTTGTGTAGGTAAAAATGGGGTCAATATTAACACAATTTTCCCTAGGCCAAACTTAACCCTAGGTAAATATGGGGTCAATATTAACACGGTTTGGCAACTTCAAAATTGAACTAGGCTAAACTAGTTTTTTCTTAGCTAGGCCAAAGTTGAACTCTTTAAGAGTTGGTTCATAAAGGAACTAGTTTAAGGACAAGATTATGAACTAGAAAGAACTAGTTCAATTCGAGCACAACTTTTGCCGGACTAAAAACATAATTTTGGGTCAACGTTGTACCACTTAAAACAAGTTTTGTGAAGTTGCCAAACGCACCCAAGTGTGTTTGGCTAATCTTTAAAAATAGGTCAGGACTAATCCTAGCCCAATTTTTACTTGTTCTGTTTTTGGCTAGAACAGGTCCAGAATAGCCCAATTTTTTCAAGCCAAAAATTGGCCTCAAAACTAATTCTTTTTCAAACCCAAAAACCCCCCGAACATAAGTAAACCTGTTTAAGAGAAAACTGACCTCAAATCGGGCCCAGTTTTCGTCGATTTGCCTAACTAACCCAAGGTAATCCCGCAATTGGTCAGTGTGGGCTTAGTTTTCCTTTGATCAAACTCGACCATTAAATTTGATTTGTTGTGAAACCCCACCCAATCCTCTCCCACCCCCCAGTTTCAATAAAACTGGTTAGGATAAACCCGAGCTAGGATCAATCCCGGCCTAATTTTTTTTTAAAATTTCTGGCAAGTTTTTTAGTGTTTGCCAAATACAAGCCTAGGAGTCCAAACAAAGCCCACACCATCCAAGAGATCGGGATTTTTTCCCAAAGATTCTAATGGGCTATACATCTTCGAAATGCATGTGGTTTGCCTTGGGCAAATACCTTGGAATTTTGTTCCTTGTTATCACTTGAATTTGAATAACCAGATTATTCACAAAAAGTTTCAACTTCCAGTGAAGCATGTAACTTATGGCTGCACAAAAATATTATTCAACCAAATGGAATGAACCTATGGGTCCAGCGAGTACCCAGTAGACAATGAGGTTGCACTTGAAAGATTCTTTTACAAAACAATGATAAGTTTCTTATGCTTTTGGATGAGTTTTTGGGTAAAAAGTAAAATGAGGAGTATCAAAGTTCGTGGTTTCAGAGTTAGGAGCTTCTTGAAACAAAAAAGGAACCTTAGGTCAAATCCTCACAAAAAAAAGGTTGAACCCAAATTTGTCATTGTTATGACCAATGTTTTAGGTCTCGGTTATCGGAAATATATCGGACAACCAAAATTCATATTGCATCCAATAACTCTAGTTATCGGGTATATATCAGGGATGAGTAGTAAAAATCGACGCATCATGTCGGATAGTGAGCATATATAATATAATGTCCTAAAATCTGATCTAAGAACATTTAATGAAATATCGAGAGAGGGTCTTCCATTGAGGTCGTTAATAGAGGTCTTCGAGTGAGAAATTTGCAAGCGATTAGGAGGAGAGAACAATGGAGGTTGAGAAAATCTCACTTTGCAAGCGATTTAGGGGAAAGAACAATGAAGGCTGAGAAAATTAAGGTTACACGACGAGCGGATGTAAAATAGAACAAGATAGCACGACTTTTATATAGTGAATGTAGATCGAATATAGAAAAAAGAGGGGTTTTCCCTCCAAACCCGAAGCAGTTCACTAAAAATGTAAATTGTAGAAAATCGGGCGCTTTTTAACCCAAGAGAAATCCACCGTTTTATTGAACTTACACCAATATATCGGGACAAATCGGCCATAAATGATATGCGATAAATTTTTACAGAAATCGTATTGGCCATGGCCCGAACCCTATATATTGGTGATAAATTGATAAAATCAGCCTATTTTTAGAACGTTAGTTATGACAGTATACTGTTACAAGAGGATGGTCAATATTGATTCTTACAGTACTGTTCAGAAAGCTGATAAGTTAAACCATGTGAACGACTCTTTCCAGTAATTGAGAAACACTTTGTCAGACAATACCCAACGCAGATACCAAAAGATAGATACGTAATATACTTAACCTGAAAATCAATAATATAACG